ATTGTATATATATATATAATAATTTTGTAATTTGCTTTTAAAAGAATTTTAAAGAATATTTAATACATTTTTAAAGAAATATTAAATTTTTGGAAAAATTTTCAGAAATTTGTAAAGAAATTTCAGTTTAATTCCAGCAATTTTTTAAATATTTTTGTTGAAAAAAATCACTTTTAGAGAAATTTAAATAATGTTCAGGAAAATTTCAATAAACCTTCAACAAAATTTTCCACATACTTTTGGTTAAAATTCAACAATTTTTTCAAGATTTTTTATTAAAAAATCATTTTCATAAAAATTTCCACGAACTTACAAAGAAATTTCAATTAAATTTTGATGATTTTTCAATATTCTTATTAAATAATTCACATTCAACGAAATTTCAACAAATTTTCAGTATTTTCATTGAAATATCAATTTCAACAAAATTTCAACAAAATTTTTCTACCAGCACTGAGAAAAAATGTCTACTATTTTTGATCGGAAATAATCTAGTGCTTTCTCCGATCAATTTCGATTGAATTCAAGTTATTCGATGAAGTGACACTTTTATTCGATGAAATGTAATTTCCGATTACATGTGAACGGAATATGAACCATCATATGCCTATCCATTAAAATTTCATCGGATAAACCTTCAATTTGGGTATTAGACTTGAACAGATAAAAAGAAAGTATTTTATCTGATCAAATTTGATGTCTGATCAATTGGAAAGCTGGCCACAGAATAGTTGGTCACGTGATCGACGACTGTTTCTATAGGCTCTCTTGGCTGATGACATTGACTGCGTTCAGCAGAGAAAATTAATCAGTTAGCTTAGTGATTCTTCTTTATATATATGTATATATATATATTAATATCTTCTTATATGTATATTATATGTATATTATATGTATATTAATTCTTATCTTTAGTTTTTCACTAAATCTAAGTGTAGAAATCAATCGTATTAAAGAAACATTAAGCGCTAATTAGTTTTCTCTGCTGAACACAGCTATTATTTTCATGTTGAAGTCAAGTGAGCATGTATCTCTATCGCGAATATCTATTTGATTTTTATTACGCATTATTATTCTTGGCTATATTGCAATATCATTGAAGCATCGATAACGAAGAAGTGCGATAACAAAATTTTTCAAGATATAAAACAGTACTTAAAACTATAAAAGTCGAGGAAAGTAATCCACATTCTTATATAAGTAAATCTTTTTCTTATACAAAAATTTATATGTTAAATAATCAATGCTTGTTTATTCAACTGTGTATAAATCGATTAGTTAACGTTATTCAATCAAAAATATATGCGTGCAGATACTTGATCATAATGTATCAAATAGTCCGTTCAAAAAGTAACGAACGGATATTTTTCATCAGACATCCATCCATTGAATTTATTCGATTAAATGTGATCGGATTTTTCTGATCAAAATAATCGGAAATAACCGTTTGTTACTTTTTGAAAAAATAATCCGATCATTATGATCGGAAAAAGCTTGGATATTTTTCTTATTATAGTAAGGGAATGAATTTGTATTTTTGTGTGCACATAAGTATGAAATTCTATATTTAAAATATCTATGATAATAAGATTTTTTTATATGTAATACTGTAAATACGCTTTTTTTAATAATACTGTAAAATATTGTCCCTGCACGTGGAAATAATAACTAAATGCTCTAATGATATATATTTTTTACTACAATAATTTTTTTACATTAATAATATAATTTTAATATAATATTAATAATATAGTTAATAATATAATAAAAATACTGCAGTAGAGCTAAATATTAATAATATCATTATTAGTAGACCAAGTTGAACACTACTAGTAGACCAAGAGGCCACTGTAATGATTCAGGGTATCATTCGATCATGTAACTTTTTCTCTAGAATGAAAATGTGAAAAATTTTTATGTATAGTGTTCCCGAATTAAATCGCCAAACTTAAAATATGAATTCAGGATTTTAAAACAAACAAAAATTTTCCTCTGAACGTATGCTTATCAAGAGATATTTTTACTTCTAAAATTATGCAGAACTGTAGGAATAAATAATTTCGAAATAATGTCGAAATAAAATCTCTATGCTCTTTATCGCTTTATTATAATCAAAATTTTATTATAAAATGTTTTGTTCGAAATAATGACCTCCAGCTCCGAGACAAGCATATTATTACATCAATGATGAATGAGAGAACGAGTTGACCGAGGCTGACTGACATGGTGCGTCTGTAATTTCTTTGCACGCTTGCACAATTCTTCATTTTAATGATTGAAGATTATTAACAAACATTACATACACTTTTTGTTTAAAAGTACATTATATAAAATAGTATTAAACACAGTGAACGCAAAAGTCAAGCCACAGATCCAGCAAGACCGATTCATCTTCCGGAAAAATGAATATTAAGTCTCTGTCGAGAACCTCTGGCATGGTGAACAGGACAGCCATCCAATTGAAACCAGGAATTCATTCTCATATTTAAAGGAATGTTTTTCAAAATATCATAAAGTTCATTATTTAAAAATTCGAGAAATCCATGCGCATTCAAACGAGCTGAAAATGGGATCCAATTGAAATATTACTCATTATTCCTAATCATATATTACATTGAAAATCGTGTTGGAAATGTTGTTCATGAATTGCTCATGTAACCAAACATGACTATTTCTTTGATTGAGAATATCTGGCAAATATGGCCTCATCTGGCCACAAAATGTTTTGTGAAAATTGTGGTCATTATCTTTTTGGTTTAAAAACCAATCGCAAAATGCTCTCTTAAGTGGCACATCAGCTAATAAATGCTGGATACGTTGAAGATGGTAGATGATGTCCATCAGTTAAGTGTCTTCCATATAATTGTGGGTGAAATTCCTAATGCAGAACCAGATCTTTGGATATTCGTTGATGGATTTTGATCGAAATATTGTAATATGATGATTGTTCTTCTTTCATTTTGCAATGGTGCAAAAATTTCAGCTCGGGAAATCCCGGGGAATATTAAATGACCTAGTTTTCTTCAATCGTTGAAATGTTAAGAGTTGACAGGAGAGAGACTATGGAAACCTCTAATTAAAGATGAATTTCTTTACGCTAAATTATGGCTAAAATATTGGATAAATCGCGTTTTAATTGCGATATTTTTAATCAGAAAAAACTCCTGAAGGCTCGCACAAAGCGATTTTTTTTTTAAAGCGAAATAAAAATTTATTCTGACCCCATGTGTACTACAGTGCAGTTAAGATGTACATAATTTTATTACTAAAAAAATTTTTTTTAATCAATTTGCAATTCGGCTTTGTACGTGCCTTCGTAGCTTCAAAAAAAAAACCAAAAAGATTTTATGACGTAATATTACTTCTTGGAAATAAAATATCAGCATAAAGATCAGATATCTGCACCGTAAATAAAGAACATACCATTTTATTTATTAAAATATTTTTAAGAATTAAATTGCAAAATTTGGTTCTTTAATAAACTTCGTAACTTCGTAAAATATAAACCAAAACGAGTTTTATGGCAAAATATTTCTTCTACAATATATAGTAGAGTCTGATAGAATGCAGATATGTAACTGCACCACAAATGAGGTGTAAATAAGTTGACTTGTTACTCCTGTCAACCCTTAAAGAGAATACTGATTTGTCGCAATCTGTTCGAAAATTGCGCGGCATATTCACGGCGAACAGTATTAGCATTTCCGTCACAAAACTATCTATATAAATATATCATATCGACATATTCACTATTAGAATACGAGGCATGATTATAAGTTTATTCAACAAAAGCATTCAACGAATTAATAGCTTTGCGAACAAAAGCCTGTCAATGATCTTCGAACTTCAAAACAAAAATAAGAGATATTTCAGTTATTCAATTATTCATTCCTACAGTTATCTATATACTATAACTGCGGAAGTAATCTCTTGAATGAAACATTTGCGAGCATACGTCCAGAGGAAAATTTTTGTTTTGAGATCCTGAATTCATTTTAAATTTGGCAGATTAACCTGGAAACTCATATATACATAAATACAAAAAATTTTCACGTTTTCGCTCTAGGGAAAAAGTTACATGATCGATACTCTGCAGTGACACTATCAGTACTGTCAGTATAGTAACATTATCGAATTTCAGTAATTACTACTATACACTAGCAGTTTCTTTTTCGTAGAGTATCCAAAAAATATCAAGTATCGACCGAAAATTCTGCCAGACATCCGATCAAATATCGGATACCGGTGTCACATTCTTAATATTCTTAATATTCGATATCTGGTAATTTTATTGTTTGATGCATCCCAATAGGAAACGATTAACTGAAAACGCATAATGTGCATGCTAGTCTCTTGAGACAAGCAAAATAGATATAATTACACAAATGTGAATTACAAAATTATGTCGATACCTTTACGACGTCTGTCCTCCTCCTTACTAGCATTGCAGATGCCATTCAGTACTTCTACAACAAAAAAATAACCGATATAAATACTCTCATTTAACGAAAAGGTAATTCATCAATGATAGATAAATAACATATTTCATTCCTTTTTATTTTATTTTTTTATAATTTGAGTATTTTGTTATTAAACTCGATAACCTTATAACATCAAAATATTGTAATTATATAAAACTTCTTTTGACAACATATATTCAACGTTTTCACTATTGCTCGACATTTTATGCAAATTTTGTTGTTACGCAACGTATAACCAAAATACTGCACGATCTGAAATTACAGCGATTTCTCGAGAATTGAGAAGAACTGGGCTGATAGAAAGAAGCTCTTTATCCTACATGCTTCAAAGGATAAACAAAAATAAAAGAAAAGACTAAAAAGTGAAAAAAAAGATCTATTATATTGAGTATATTCGGAGGTATTTTTGCACTCTTTCTCAATACATATGCGTGCGTGTGTGCATGACACAAATATATCATTAAAAAAAGTCATATATTTATATAATATTTCAAAGATGGTGAAATCTAATATATCAACATTTGTTGAAATATATATATGGTTTTTATTAATAAATAGAATAATACAAGACAAATATTGTTAAAGTTTATCGCGATGTAATGAAGTTTCTTAGTTCTTGAAGTTTCTAGATTAAAAACTGTTGAAAATCATAAATCGTTGATTACTTTTATTTCTTAGATAAATAGAAATCTATTTATATTTATAAAATCCGACTTTTACTTGAAATTTTTATATCTACTTCAAAAATGTTTCTTATTTTATATCTACTTCAAAAATGTTTTTTTTGAAACAATGAAAGTGTCACTTCAATATTCGAAAATCAATTAATACACGACAAAAATCTTTACAAATGCAAAAATATTCCAATATTTTTAGTGGCATGAAAGAAAAATCAATGTATAAGCGTGTGAGTACTCGCTAAAGATGTCTGTTACCTATTTATTTATAGAATGAACATACAGCAGCAAGCATGATCACGCGCTTGCGTGTGCATTTTCTCTACATGTTCATTCGATACACTGTCCGCTTCGCGGACATACGCAGACACATAAGACAAGAAAAACGTATATATGAAATAACATATTTTAAGGAAATATACGTGAGTACTGACTCATATACGGATATTGTACAATACTAACTGACAAAATATTTGGCTTGATGAAAACTAAAAAGAATCTTTATAGAAATTTTTCATCGCTTTTGCATCTTATATGAACTGTTTTTAGCCCATTTTTATCCGTTTCTTGCACTCGTAGTACCGCGAAGTACAATAACGAGTATACACGAGTATATATATAAATATTTTTTAATAAATTGTCCGTTTTCAATATTCATTTTTCAGCTGTAGAATGAGAACACGTTAATACTTTCCACTTTTACTAATACATTTACTTATCGTTTATTAATTATCACATAAATTTCAAATTAAATGATCAAAAAAATATTATGCTTTAATATTTTTTTTAATATTTGCGATCTCTAATAAATTGGAAAAGAATTCTTACAATAAGGTAACTCCGATATTTACGCCGCGTGAGGATTTACGCCACAGAAATTAGAAAGAATAAAAGGAATGGAGATAATTTGCAAGCAACCTATCTATTATATATCTATTATATAATCTATTTTATGCTTTTATGTTATATTAGTATCGTGACTTCAATTTTTTACTGTAATATTAGTAACACTATTATGTCAGTTGAATCGATTTGTCAATGTAATAAATAGCGCAACCATGTATTATAACTCATTATAACTCACGTGAAATTATTATTATAGAGAGTGCAAAAGATTTGGTGAGATTGTTTGATGATTATTTAATGATTTGGTGATACACATAAATGTATGTGTTTAACTTCATTTTTCATTCAGCTTGATGTTGCATTTTCTGTTTGAAACATATGGAAATTTTTGCGGATAGGTTTTATATCAAAACGCATAAAATATACATATATGGATTAAGTACATTAAATTCAATGAATTACATAAAACACATCATATCTCCTCATAACTCTATAATATATGCAAGATTAGAAATATTATCTATTAAGGACTGTCCAAGAAAAAACCTTCCCACACAAAAACTCACATATCTTCCACTTTCAAAACAAACCCATTTTAGAAACGTCTTTTAATTACAATTAAAACTATATTTTAAAAAATTCTTAAAAACTATTTTTGACAAAAATTTTTAATTTTTTCTGGAACCCCCTCCATCATACTTTTTATGGTGGTCTCGGTCACTTCCTCGGATGCCCTCTTTCTTCGCTGTTTTTGGATCTTGAAAATTCTTTTTCCTTCCAGATCCTTCTTTATGATTGATAGTCAAGTCTTCCTTGAAATGCCTAACGACTATTGACACCGTTTTCCTGCAAACTCCCGCCTCCCACGCGATTTTGATGAAACTCCACTCCGGGTGTTCTTGAAAAATTTTGATTATGGATTTGCGTGTTTCTACTTCACTTGCCATTTTGCAACAAAGCGATTACGAAACTAACTGTTTCAATCGTTTCTTACATTCATTGCAAAGCCTATTTAAAATTAAAAAATTAAAAAATTAAAAAATTGTTTTTTTTTTAAAGTGGTTCGGAGGATATATGAGTTTTTGTGGGAAGGTTTTTTCTTGGACAGTCCTTACTTCCTATATATTATATATTCATCATCCTTAATTTCTTAATAAAACTTTGTACACACATATTTTATAAGCTAGTGCATCATTTTGCATTTGATTTCTAACCTTTATTTATAAATCTTATATTCTATAAGTCACGGTAAAAAAGGATTTTAAAAAGTTCCTCTTTTAATATTTAATTTACATAAAAACTAAATATTTTGTATTAGGTAAATTTTGTATTGGGAAAAACTTCATGGCGTTTTTTTAATGCCACCTAACGGGAAAAACGCCACGAACTTTTTCCCACACCTAATATTTCTAATTTTTTACCAGAAAATATAATATTTTTATTGGTGTAATATATTTACCTTAAATACATAATACACGATACTTGATAAATTAAGTTTTCAATAAATGTGACCGGAGTTACGATATCATCAATTACTGTATATATACATACATATACATATGCATTGTATTGTGTGTGTGTGTGTGTATGCGTGAGGGCATCGAAAAATAATTCTTGTAAAGCAGTAAATTATACTTCTACGTATTTTTCAAGAAAATCTTGATTTTAGGTCACACAGATTTTAAATTTCTTTCCTATTTGTTTAAACATAAACGAAATATTTGAAATTAGATTTATTTAACATTAGAAAAATACATCTTCGGCGGACACGAATGTGTATAAGCATACCTAAATCTGAGTATAGGATCCGATGTTGCATCATCTGCGTCGACTCCTACCGCTTTACGAACAGTTCGCGAGATATTTCAAAATTTCGGTTGAAATCAAAGAATACCAATTTTCTCATAAATTATCTCAAATTGTTGTTGTTATTGTTTACTTGTATGGCAATTTATTATTACATAATCATGGGCGACGAAATGGGTGTGAAGTTGTGGAGACTCCTGAATTGACTTAAATAGACCTGAGATTTAAGTGGAATAGAAATTCGACATTATCTGCAATATTCTGTGAAACTTCAGGTTTGTCCTTTTTAGTTAAAATTCTTGAGTTCTTCTCTCTCCACGTTGGAAAGAAAAAGAGAAAAGATAAACCGTGCAAGGAGTTCAGTTAAAAGGAACAGAACATTGTGTCTACTTTGAATCTCGTTCGCAATGCTGGGACTGCCGTCGGCAACAGTACTGCAGATAAATCCGAACGCCAATATTTTTTCTAGCTTCTCCACTCTTATCTCGCTCACTCACTTTCGCTACTTCACTCGCTCGCCGCGTCGTTACTTAGAAAAAAAAAGTAAAGAGGGACACACGCTGTGCTTTAGTTTGCAGCACTAATCTGTTCCGAGCTCAGAGCTGCGCTTAGAGTGAGAAATTTATTTGTTTAGAGGGGGAATTAGAAAATTAAATACTTGGAAAAGAAATTTTTTCATCCCCCCCTCCTTCTCAATAGTAAGTTACTCTACCTCTGCAAATTCACCAAATAGCCGTACATGTACATAACAGTAACCGATCTCTTATTTATCACAGGTAATTTTACAAAAATGTTGAAACAGAACTAAACTAATAATAATAACAACTAATTGAGTGAGGATATGATCAGCTAAACAGCATAAAAATTTTATCAATTAGAATAGTTGCGGCATATCAAAAACTTAATTTATTAAGTATTATTTACTATGTTTATAGTAAACGAACTATATCAGTAAAACTTTGTACTGTCTACTACTATGAAAAAAATATTAGAAATCTGAAATATTTATTTTTCATATTAAAAAATAAACTTTTTGAAATCCATGCATTTTTGCCGTATATCCCATAAGGATGGGACATATGGTTACTAGGAAGGGGAGGAATATGTACGACTTATGAAAAATTTACAAATAATACATATAAATAAGACGTATAATGACACAATAACTTATAAAATGTGTTTATAAAGTTTTATTAAGGAATAAGAATGGTAAATATTGGGTATAGGAAAAAGTTTGTGGCGTTTTTCCCGCTAGATGGCATTAAATGCTCAGCAGTCGGCAACTACTAATCGCATCGGCAACACTAGACGTGCGTTTAAAAAGTGATATTTTAACGAAAAAGATTGAAATCGGTGAAATGGATCAAAAGTTATTTTATTTTGAAAATGGAAATAAATAAGGAAAAAATTCGCTACATTTTGCAGTTCACTACGATAAAGGCAAGAATGCTGCACAGGCTTGTGAAAAAATTTGGATTATTTACGGTGAAGATACTCTATCAAAATTAGCACGGAAATGGTTCACTCGCTTTCGTGCTGGAAATTTCGATATGAAAGATGAACCTCGCTCCGGTCGATCACTGAACCGACCAATCACTGAAAAGTCTGATGAAATCATGGATAAAAGTCGAGCATGATAAGCATGTGAGCACTGTGGAGATTGCCAGGGAACTAAGCATCGACTACAAAACAGTTTTAAATCATTTACACAAAGCTGGATACAAAAAGAAGCTCGATGTTTGGGGTCCTCACGAGTTGAGTGTTAGGAACATGATGGACCGAATTAACATTTGTGATACGCTACTGAAATGGAATGAAATTGAGTCATTTCTGAAGAGAATACTGGTGATAACTAGTGATGAAAAATGGATCACCTAATCTAACTAGAAAAAGATCGTGGATAAAGAAAGGAGAGAAGGCGCAAGCAATCGCAAAACCTGGATTGACGAGGAAGAAAGTGATGTTGTGTGTGTGTGTGTGTGTGTGGTGGGACTGGAAGGGAATCGTTCACTATGAGCTGTTATCTAATCCAACAATTAATTCCGAACTCTACTGTGAACAACTGCAGAGATTACAACAAGCAATTGAGAGGAAGCGGCCAGAATTAATCAATAGGAGAGATGTCGTCTTCCATCACGACAACGCTCGACCACACACATCTTTGATGATTCTGCAAAAATTGTGAGAGCTTGGCTGGGAAATTTTAATGCATCCACCGTATAATCCTGACATAGCATCTTCAGACTATCATTTGTTTAGATCTCTGTAGAACTCTCTTAATGATGTAAAGCTAGCTTCAAAAGAAGCCTGTGAAAATCACTTGAAGCAGTTTTTTGATCAGAAACCACAGAAGTTCTATCGCGATGGAATTATGGCTCTGCCCCAAAAATGACAAAATATTATAGAAAATAATAGAGCATATTTGGTTTAAATAAATTGATTTCAATACTCTAAGAAAAACACTTTAATTTTACTAAAAAATCGCCACGAACTTTTTCCCATACCCAATATGAAGTAATAAATAATAATTACAATTTTCTTACATATATTACAAGTGTTATGACATGAGATACATATTTCATATAATGCGTTTATTGCATTTAGTGCACTGAATTCAATCTGCGCACTTTGCTTTGGGCATAAATCCCGCTCGCTAAAAATGCCATATACTATATCCCAAACAGGTGGGATATACAAGACAACAAATTAAACAAAAAATATGAAAGCAAAGCATTGTATTTTATTACACAACATGCTTTATTATTCCACTACACGTATATACCACGAAATAACAAGTCTTTTGCACGCCCTATAACAATCATTTTATGTAGATTGTAATTTATGATGGCGTTACTTATTACAGTGACAAATATCGATTCAACTTACAATAATTTCATTAATTTATTACATAATATTTCATTAACAGTAAGAAGTTGAAATCATAACACAATACTAATAACGTAAAGGCATATAACAGAGTTGCGAGAAAATTACCCCCACTCTTTCTATTTTTTCTGACTTCTGCTGCGTAAATACTAGCGCAGCGTATTTGCCAGAGTTATGGCCTATTGATAATAAAATTTAACAGAAGTGGACAATGTGTTTTGTAATAATTGTTAACAAGTTTTTATCATTAAATGGTAAATCTATTTAATATACTGTCACCAATTACAATTTAAAGCGACGGAACGAACACAAGATTTCGAACTTAAAATCTTACATTTTTCCAATGCTCAAAAAGCTTCCTCACGACCAGTGGTGAATTTATACATTTTTATGTCCTAAGTCCTTCTTGGCCCTCTTTTAGAACAATCAAAAAAAGAGTTGGCTGCCGTCGAAGGCGCCACTTTTCTCTCAAGTGCAAGCGTTTGACTATATTGGCGGAAATGCGCCACACCTGGCAACTCTGCACAAATTAAGATTAACTTTAATCTCGATTACTGAAAAGATGACTCCCCTCGGGACTCTATCTAAATCTTACTGCTCACAACTGCTCCACTATTCATAATTCATACGTATCTCACACAATGAACAGTTATCTATTAATTAACACTCAGTTTT